ACACACAAATCTGTAAGCAGAAGTTGCAGTAACCCGACGTAACAATACTTTTTCTTGAACTCTTCTGCATCGCGCCTTGCTATCGATGACTGGGTTGGGAGCGCCTCCCCGCGGAGAGACGCCGCCTCCTTCTCCTTTTTCACTTACGCCCTCTCAGCACGAATGGGACGGCCGGAGAAGGTTTCGCGCCTTTCGCGCGCTTCGGGATAACGAAGGCCATGGCTTTTCGCCAGAATTTCTAGCACTAACCGCCAGGATCGCGACATCTGACAACATGACACTTCGGCTTCTGGGACGTCATCTGTTGGAACTTCGGTACCACTTTTGGTGTATGGGCGGAATAGGACGCTAAACACACCAGTCGGAGACACGCTCCAGGCACCATAATTTCAGGTCAATCTGGTAAAAGAAGGTGCTGATAGCCTACAAGAGCTACTTGAAGCCGCTCATATGGGTAAAAAAAAGTAAAATATAATGATCGAAATTCATCACTTCTCATCATTGAGAGCCATTTCAAGTCGATCTCAGAAAGAGTGTATGCTTATCGCCAATTATGGTCATTAGGAGCCATTGGCGCGTCTCGTAAGACGTGTCTCGGTAGATATAAAACGAATAGGTCAACAAGGTTAGAATAGCTAAATAATTATTAAATTGTACGAAATCGCTATGCGAATTCCCACATGTATATTATGCAGCACACACTGCATTTTGACATCAAATGACAAAGACGTCCAATATCACGAGCTTATGCTCCCTATGCTCCATCAAAAAAAAAAAAAAAAAAAAGAAAAGAAAACAGAAGAAACATGTATAAAAATGTATTATAGATCAATTTCTCTATTAAGTAAGACCCACTCTCTGCATTTCCGGTGAAAATGGCTATCATGGACGGCATCGAACGATACCATACCTCCCAACCAATCTACGCATGTATCGTTCAGACGGCTCGCAGCGTCACCTGCGGTCCTTCGTAAGCTGAAACGAAGTACAGTACAGGCGAAGGCACCACCAGGCAAGGGGAGAAAGGGCAAGCACTGAGAAGGCAGAGAGGAGGAGAGAACTCCTCTCCTCTCTAACGTTCCCTTTCTCTCCTCGCCCTTCATTGCCCTCCTCTCCCTGCCCGCCTTCCTTTCCTTCTTCACCTGGCCGTGCCTCGCCTGCACTGCACACAAATAGTGACAAAGAGCATAGATGTCCACCCCCTGACGCCGGGATCGCTTTCTGCTTCCGTCTCCTATTTCACTCCGGAGTTTCCTGCGTTAGTGTCCAAAGTATTTGATATATATCGCTGCATTACTCGTATAGCCTTCACAATACTAAAGAGAAAGGCACAGTATTGCCGGCTCTCAATGTTTGCATCTGGAAGCTGGGAATGACGATACATCTTTTTAAAATTCGAAGCTATGTTATTTTTACACCCTAAGATGATCATGCGACGCAGCAACTTCAGCAGACGGCTCGCGAGCACCCAAAAAAAGTGAGACGCTGAACCTGCGGCGTAGAAGGACGCAGCAACTGCGTGCGACGACACCAAAGTTGTTTTCACTGCATGCCTTCCCTCGTCGACGGGACTCCACACCAGTTTTGCGAAATGGGCACCCCCATTCCATTCCAATTCCATTCCGGGGAATTAGAGCTTGCGATAATTCAATTCCTTTCAATTCCTAGGAATGGGGACACTGAGCCCATTCTCACTCCACTCCTGGAATGGCTGAATCGTTCCATTCCATTCCTTTAATTCCTAAACGTAAAAATTGTCACTTGACAGCTGCATTTTGTTGCCGGCATAAGCAGCATACAGCTGACATTATCAAATGCAGAGACAATTTGCAAAAAAAATGCTAATTTCCTCAAAAAAAGCACTGACTTTTACTAAGCGGACCGCTGGTGGCAGAAAGTGTTTATTTACAATGTACTGCAGACATCGATAAAGCCCCTTGATATGTCGATGCTTGTTTAAGACATCGGTCTCACGATCACGTGGCTCGCAACAAACAGCAAGACTTAAATCCACTCATTTTCTTTTCTTTTTTTAACTTTTTTTGCCTTTGACTTTTAAGACATACGCGGCCAGCGTGTTTGTTTGATAAGACCATAAAAATATCCAGTTCGTGCGTGGCGCAGGAATAAGCTATATTACTGTATTCTTCAAATACAGCAACACGGCTAGTACACTGCTGGAAGCGACTCCATGCGCAGGGGCAAGAACACATCCTCTGACGAAATGCAACCTCTGCGGCGCAGCATGAGGGACCGTATAGACCATGCCACGAAACCTGTTTTAAAACGCATAAGTTCACGCTTGCTTTACAAATCTCGATATTTCTTATCATATTCAATTCAATTTTTGGCTGGTTCCCTGCCCTTTTCCGCCCTTCGCATACTCATTCTCGTGTTTTCTCTTCAGATGGCGAATAAAGTTCGATGATATACGCCGACTGCACCATGTATAGTTTCGTTGCACAACTTTCAGCGCGCAGCTTGGTTATTTCCTTCGCGACTAATGTAGAAAAATGTCTTCTACGATGCCATGACTCGATCTGTATTTATCTTGTCTTCTCGTCCGAATTGTGATGTTCCTCTTCACGCTGATCGAGTGACGGGTTCAGGCAGCAGACGGTACCAACCGATTCATTCTTCTACCTCGGTGTCGGTGGTTCGCGTTGTGGCGACGGGTCGGGAAGCCAGCGTTGACGTAATACCGCGCCGTTCGAATTGACATTCCCCGTGTTTTCTCAACAACACCGTCCAACTGACTTCTCACCGCCTCATATAGGATCCAGGACAAGGAGCACGAATGCAGACCGGAGAGCCGAGACGCGCGGAAGCCAAAACCTCAGTGGCAGTACGGTAGTGGCAGCTAGCACCCAGCTCTCCTTCTCAGTTGCCCTCACAGCAACGGTCGCGCCTCGTCTGGCGCGGGACGGTATTTCTGCAGGTCTAGTCAGTTCGGTCGCACCAAGAGCGGTGACGAAAGCCTAATTCACCTTACGATGGAGCTCAACAGACAGCACGAGAGCCATCGAAACCAATTTACTGCCTTCTAAGTGTCGCGTGACCCTGCAGTCCCGCTCACGGTACTGGATTGCCTAGGGTGACTCGTAGCGTCAGCAGCGGTCCATCGCAAGGTGAAACGAAGTATGCAGAGACTAAATTCAAAGAAAATGAGCGGGAATCCGCTACCTTGCTTGTAACCCCAACCCACTAAAACATATAACACAGAAAACAAGCATCGGAACGAAGACCAAGTAATAGGCGGACTTACACTACAAATGCAGTATAAAAAACAAGCCTCGGAGCAAAGCGCAAGAGGAGAAGAGGGAAGTGAATCTCGCTTTGTTTTAATGCCGAAACAAACTCACGTTTCGCACTTCAAAGGAGTGCGCACGAATGAATGTGGAAGGCAGCAGGGTTGGCTGCCTGCTAAACGACGCGCCTCGAACTATAAGAAAACAATACCTGATCATCTTTCGACGGCGCCCGAGTCAACGAGTTATCAAAGCTCTGCGAGTTATGAGTCGCTTCTGCTCCCAGATCTCAGTCTGTGCGCGCGCGTGCATTCGACAAACCGTCGCAGCAACAATAAAAAAAGCATGACAAGAAGGACGATGAGGAGTTGTGCATGGCGGTTTCTTTCTTTGCCGCTCTCTTTTCTTTTGCTTGGTGCTTGGTTTCTTGTTTCGCTCTCGTGTAACACAATCGAAGCACGATGCCCGACGCCTGCGCGTCCGTGAAGGGCGCCACTTTCCCCCCACCCCCTTTCCCCCTTTGCTCTTTGCTTTGACGCTCGTTTTTTGTGTTACATTTTTTTTGGCGTATAGGTCTGTTAGGGCTCCTCGCAGGCTAGCAGTTTCCCGCTCATTTTATTTCTGAGCAACTGACTCACTGACTGGCTCGGTTTAGCTGACCGTAAACACACACACACACACACACACAAAAAAAAAGAAGAACCGTGCCCCATTTCATTCCCGTTCCATTCCGGGCAAAAGGCACCTAATTCCATTCCCATTCCATTCTTCTCAACGTTGCCGCCATTCCATTCCCATTCCATTCCGGGGTCGTAAAAATGAGGAATGATTGCGGAATCATTCCAACTCCGGAGTGGCAACTCCGCAACACTGCGCCACAGTGTGTTTGCGTTGCGAGCGTCCAAATGTGCGTGGGGCTAACGCCTTATAGGCCATAACTTATAAGTGCTGTGTGCCCGTGTGTTGGAGAAATTATACCGGGGAAAACAGAAGGCCGACATTTTCTGCTTCCCATTGGACGTGGGCCGATGTAAACTGGATTACGGCAATGTCCCGGAAAGACTTCCCAGTTACGAGTTTTTAGAGGTATACCAAACGGTTTTACATCTTTCGTTTTAATCTTTGCACTTCGGTATCGATACTACGTCCGGCAAAATTACGTGGCGCTAAACCACTTCGCTGTTTACCGTACGTACTCTGAAGGAGGCATAGTAGGTGTTTGTAGGGCGAGCTATATCTTGCGAAGTGCATTTAAACGTGTTGTTGGTTTTATTAGCACGCGAGCTATACCTGCTCAAGAACATTTTGCTCCGTGTTATGAGGAGCGCAAGTTCGTCTGCTTCTTGCACAGAAGGTTGCAAGGACGTCAGAACGCCGATCTCTGATTGGCTCGATTGGAAGGATAGTGGGTAGACCTCAAGCCATAGAGCTCCTCTACCTTTTTAATCAAAACCAATCAGAGCTCGGTGTCATGCTGACGTCACCGCAACTCCTGCGCAACAAACGGACGACTTGCTCTCCGCTACCATGTGGAAGACAAGGCCTCCGTATGCCGTCATATATAGTTAGAGGACCTCCGACCAACCGAACGCTGACGCACAGCTTGTGCTGCGGTGGCGCAGTTGTAGTCCCTTGCGCATGCGAGCAGTCGCTTCACTCGACGAAAACCTGGTTTCTGCGCCAGGCGCATTTGCACTCAGCCGGCGTTGGCACCTTGTTTTGTAAACCTCTTGACGGCGTGTTGTCCCTCACCTGAAATCCCAGTACTTGTCGCTCTTCACGTCCAGGGTCACGTGCTCCCTGGCGTACGTGTTGCCTCGCACGTTTCCCAGCCACACGTCGTAACCGGCGTCTGCCAGGATGAAGCCTGTCGAACGATGGTTACGCGTGTTTTAGTGCATCGGACCCTGCACCGACCATTTGTATACACTTAGACGAACGAGTTGTTACGTTGAACTACCACTACCGTGTGAACTGCCACTACCGTGTGAACTACCACTACCGTGTGAACCGCATAAAACGAAGGAAAGCTGATTAGCACAGTCTTTGAAGGTATAGTCGTTGCCTTTCGTCCTTGTGTTTTTTTTTTGTTTGTTTGTTTTTTCTGAAAACACTTGATTGCTTGCGTTCGTTTTAAACTTGCTGATGTGATGAATAATCATTTTTTGACGATGCTATTTTCAGAAGTAGGGGACCTTTTTCTTATGTCTGTTGTTTCCTTTCTGTTCACCCACCGCTTATGCACGAGCAGATGTATGTGAATGAATAAATAATCATTTATCAGGTGCCTAAAAGCATATATACAACATTCGGTAAGGTGGAGAAAACTAGTCAGAAATGCAGAATGGAAGAAAAATACATCCTGGCAGGCATTGCGACGTGGCTACGCGCCGTTGTAAGAAAACTACCAAAATATGCAACACAAAAAAGAAGGAAAACAAAAACGGGAATGCATATTTTCTGCAAAATACACAGGCAGCCGATGATGGTGAATAGTAGCGGTCGATTCCAGCAAACGATAAATAATAATTAAAAAAAATATTAAACAAACACAAAAAACTGGCAAAGATTTTGACGTTTTGCTTGCTTATTCTCTGCATTTTTCAGAGCTAATAATATTTCTAGCTTTAGCATACGCTGGTATCCTTTCTTCGGCGTGATTGGCTGCTGCCTCCGTGTTCTGCGGAAAAGTGCACTCGGAGACTTGCAGGTTCTCACCAAAGCTCTGGTTCTGGAAGTTGATGACCCAGTCCGCCGCCGAGTTGAGCAGTCCGTGCATGAGCAGGACAGGCGGCCTGACCGAGTCGCGGCCCCCGTGTCGGCCATCCCTGCCGTACGGGATGCGCTGCACGCCGATGATGTATCCATCCGCCGTGGTCACCGAGTGCTCTTCGACGGGGTACCCCTTGGACACGATCAGCTCGCTCTGGCGGCGCAATCACAATAGACCCTTTTTGAAATTCGGTCTGGCAACTTTGGTGACTGACATCATCGAAATACGTGCATTTTAACGACAAAGAGAAGATTGAAAGACTGGTTGAAATTATCTAGGGAGAATTGAATGACGTTAAACTACCTAGCACAGCTGGGGAACAGGTGGGACAGAAGAAAATTGGGACTGCCTCCCTCGTGGCTCCGGCCCAAAGTCTCAACCTTGCCTCCCAGTGAGCCCGGTGCTACGGTAACTCCGACTAGGTTTGACCAGAGGAAAATTTGCGACTCCTTAGCCTGAAAGGTAAAAGCGGAGGCGTTGTCTTTCTTTTTTCTTTTTTGTGCCTAATACTTTAAAGGCCATCCTGGTGATATCCCACACCGCCTTGTGATAGTTACAAAATTGCAGAGGTGAAGCAAATTGGCTTAGACGGGAATCATACTTTTTGGTTTTTAGTTTCTAGGCTAGGTGTTGCAAGCTGCCGCCCGTTATAATGGGTATAGCCATATACATCCATCCATTCATTCATCTCAGTTTATGGTGTGATTCTGTGCCAAAATAATGACGGTTTGCTTGAAGCTCATGAAGAATGTTGAGGATACTATCCGCGGAGGATATACGAGACCTCTATACGTTCAAGACGTCATTACAGCACGAAGCACGGATTAGATACAATGGTTACATAAACGTGTATTTCGAAGCGCGGATCAATCACTCTCAGAACAAGTTTGGCTCTGAAGCCTTTCGCTGACGGAAATTTAATCAAGGGGCACGTGGGTCGGCGTTTGTTCTGATCAGAAATAATTATGAGGGAATCGAAGAACCGATTCTCATTTGCCATTGACGTGCGAAATTGACGTTGTTCGATGAAATGCAGTTTTGTGACAACCATTCGTTTGTCGAAAATTGTAACTGCTTTTTGAGCCACCAGATGTCACTGAATTTAGAGAAGGTTCTATACATGGCTCGCACGTGGTGTCATTGCATCGTGCTGATGGTCGTTCCTACTAAAGTCACTAGATCCTGCAAAAGTAGCTCCATTGCCCTCCCTGCCCGCTAGCCGAACACAAACAAGTTCTAACATACAGCAGACCAAAACCTCACAAGGCGACTGGCTAATATGGCTTTGTTGTTATGGAAATCGCCATTTCGACCCCTTCGAATCATCGAAGCTTCAAGAGGGTAATTCTAGGGAGTCTTAGGCAACTCTAAAGCGCCGTTCACACATCTGCAACCGACTAACACCGAGACAGACCAGACTGGTTTTTAAGCCTCTTGCGACGTCTTCGGACCAGCTCCGCTGCATATGTGTTGCATATGGTTCTAGGTTGCATATGTGTGAACTGCACTCAATCCAGAGACGCGCCAAGATCACCATGAAGCATCGTCATACTGAAGGTTTTCCTCGCCAATATAAGCGTCTTTGGCACTATGTATGCAATCAACTCATCAATCATGCCCATCTCCACGGATTCTTAAAATTATAATCTTGCATATTTCAATACAGGAAAATTATTTATCAATGTATCCAAGCACCGACACCGCATGTGGTGGTGGTACGAAGGTGTACGCTGGTTTCGCCAGTGTGTGAAAATCAAAATCTAGGTACACAAGAAACGTCTCTATAAAGTTACCCGACCTGCGAACTTAGATCGGTTAACCAAAAATGGAGACGTCGAGGAGAAATTGCTCATATCATGAGCCAAGGTGGCGACCACGCGCGAAGCTTGGCGCTACTTCTTCACGATCCAGTTACTTGAGTTCCCACTTGTTCCTGATAGAAAAGGAAGTTTAATGGCGAAAATTTTTCGCTGGAGAAGGTACGCGCTCAGCAGCAGTAGCAGCAAGGTCACCACAACGGCCGTTGACGTGAAGTCACAGCAAGCGATGTAGGAACGTAACGACTGACATTCGTTCCGTCTGTTTTGTAGCTTATACATCTTTTTTCTTTGGCACGGGTGTGTTAATTTCGGCTTGGGATAAATTATTTTATATTGAGATTTTACTAATCGCATATATTTTAGGGATCATGCGGGTTGTTTTAGAAGAAACCTGGGTTGTTTTGGAAGAAACCAGAGAAAAACTCGCCTTCTCGTCAAAACGCCGGGACTGTTACTGCACCAAAGGAGCCGGGAAAGATATCAATATCAGTTCTCACGTGTCTTCTGCATGTCCGATTCACCCGAAAACGTGGATAGGTGCCGTGATAAAAGAAAATCCGACGCCGTCGGACCACGATTGCTTGGGCGGAAAGCACTTTGGATTGAAATCACAAATACCTGTGGTCGTGAAATTTATTTATTTAGTACTAACATGAACGCGGGAAAGCCGCCAAGTTGTCCGGACCACGTTCAGTGCGTCCTCACGTTCAGAGGTCCGTGTTATCGTTCAAGCTGTCGCCTGCTCTTTCAAAGTCGTCTGCTTCTTGCAACTATCGTTCGCACGTTCAAACGACAACGGCCCGTAGACCACACGTTGACGCGGTAATTGTGATAAAAAGTAAGGGCAGGATTCTAAAGACTTTTCAATTTGAAGGATGCTTGTGGTAAGTAGGCTCGATGTAAACGTAGCATACAAGTGTATGCTTATCATTGTTACCGGTGGATATCACTTTTTATGAATGTGCAATGAGTCATTTTGCGAGCAGGGGTTCAGTTGGAAGTCATATCAGCTCTCGTTTAGATAAAGCACAGCCTTTCCAAACTCCGTCTAGAAAGGAAGTGGGTCCGTGTGCTTGTTTTGTTCAAGGTCCTAAGCTTTCAGTTTGGGATTGAGGTCACCGTTTACGGTTGAGGTGAAGACCAGTGTGGGTAGGATTGCATAGATAACAAAGGTTGACCTTGTGACGTCGGTGGTCGGTGGTTAGGTTGTGGATATATAAGACATTGAGGAAATAAACGCAGTAGCTGAGTTTGAGACGTTATTTTTCCCTGTTTTTCTTCGACGGAGTTTCCCTGCTTTTACCACAGTCTCGGGTTTTCTACATCATGGTCAACATCCACCAGCTCCCCTGCGCACTCACTGTTTTTTTATCGCTATCGAATGGTTTTTTTTTTTTTTTGGGCGGCGGCGCGCGTCTTGCCTACACCCCATCGCGCATGCGCGCCGCTGATGGCGTGCCTCTAGGGGCGCTCCGGTTTGTTTGTAAACATGAGTTGGTGCATAGTGGGTCTGTCTAAACATGCACGCTGTACGTACAACGTTCTTGTCGAAGTCGGGGTCCTTGGGCGGTGCGTCCCCACGGACCTGGTGGCTCTTGAGGACGAACACCAGAATCCAGGAGACGTAGACAGGCATGGTCTACACACGTTGCACCTGCACGCAGGAGAAACGCACCCGAGGAAAACTCGCATTGTGTCGAGGACATTTGTAGAGAGTTTGGTTCGGGAATTCTGGCTACCGAGACTTGTAAGGTGCAGAGGAAGCCCGCGAGGCCAGAACCGTGAAAGAACCACGCCGCAATGGTGTGGAACCGAGGCAAATGCTTATTGGCGTAGCGGTCTGTTGCGCGCACGTATCATCTCTTTCCCTATATTCTTTTTGTTCTCGTACTGGACAAGGGAAGAGTGTCATAAATGAGATAATTGGTTCAGTATTAATTTTCTTTTAATCACTATAAATCACCAATTTGCCCAACTTTCTACCCTCGCCCCCTCCTCCTTCAGTTTCCTTTTGACTGCGGGCTTTGCAAGACACCAGGAACCTAAGGGTACGGGCCTGCTGCCTTCCGTGGTGACCTTACTCTACAGAGTGAAATGAAGAGTACAAATACTTCCCCCTCCTTCTATCACCGTTGTGTTTCCCTTCAGTACACGAGAACACGCATTCTCGTCTATTGGAGGGAATTGAGCGAAGTAAACTAATTAGCCATGATTAAACTTTTAATTATAGTAATGACATCTGGTGTAATTACGGCGAGTATTATTGTACCTCACTTTCACTCAAAGCAAAAGAAGCAAATTATACCTTTAGAAAGCTTACGAAAGAATTACACATAGAGGACAGAACACGGAGAGCATATCCTTTAGGTGCAGTTCTTTCGTACATATCTTATTCACTAGGGAGTATTCACCGGCGGCCATATCCGTGTGCGCTGCTGCTGAGCGCGGGCTGACGGCGAGCTTCCGGAGTCTTTTTGGAGCGTGCATTTAGCACCATCAAGGTTGCTTGTCTTAGCAGGCTATTAATGTGAGCTCGTTCTGAGCATGCGCTCTAACCCGACTTGCACCTGGTCAAACTGTGGGACAAGCGACTGGAGGCTCTTCTATGCTACAGAACCAGGAAGTCCCTCCGGAATAAGATACGCTTGAATCACGCCACAGCCGAAGCCAAGAGATATACCATCAAACTCTGCCGCACCACCTGGCACAGCCTGTGCGACACTTTTAATGAACGGACAGGCTACCGCAAGCTGTGGCAGGTCTACAAAGGGCTCGCTGGGAAAACAAAAACCAGTAACACCGGAAGCAACTTGGCCCTCCGTTTAGATATACCAGAGGTGGAGCTCGCGGAAGAAGCAGGAGATTATTTCTTTCCGCAACAATCCAAACCTCCCACAGCCGAAGTATACACCCGGCAACCCATCCTACAAGAACACCCGGCAGACGCCCCCTTCACGCTCGCGGAGCTCCTAGAAGCCCTCACGGCAGCACGAGCGAAGACGGTACCTGGCCCAGACCTCGTTACCTTAAAATTATTATGGGTGCCTCAAGCAGACCCGAGTGACAAGGACAACGAAAAAGACACCAGTATGAAAGTAAGGAACAACAACAAAAATAGGAACAATTAAATTTTGATTCGGGCGAGCGTCGTATACCGGCGTGTATAACTACTGAGGGACGCACGTTAAAGACTCCAGGCAAGCAGGCGCACTGCTCGCACACCATACACAAGACAGCGTTTGCTGCGGACACGATGAAGTATTTGTGGGCACGCCCTATGCACGTTCGAAGCACGCGATTGCTTCCTACATGCATCAAACATGTCTGCAGACAGGGGGGCTATGTTGAGCTTTTTGCACTCCCAGGAGACTAGGGAGAGGGAAGTGACGTCACCGACACAGCAAACGCAGATTGGGTCTTGATTTCGTTTTCTTCTGTCAACATCCAATCTGCATTTGCTGTGTCGTTGACGTCACTTCCCTCTTCCAAGTCTCCTGGGAGTGCAAAAAGCGCAACATAGCACCCCTGTTCTTGCATGGCCAATGTGACACTATACCGTCGTAGAAGGAAGAAGCGGGCCTTGGACGGTATCTGCAGGCTGTCTTTGGTATGATGAACTAGCAGCGCTGCTTCACGGTGTCGTCATACCCTCCATACCAGGCTGGCCTCACTCTGTCTCAACGCCTAGTATTTCTTTACCGCGTCATCCCAAGACCAAAGGCGACAGAATGAAAAGTACTTGCGCGTAGGCATGGACAGGTGACACGGTATCAGCGGACAAATGCATTCACTCGCCAAGGTGTCCTACCTGGGAATCGGGCTCCAAGTTACTTCCGTCCCGTTTCCTTCAGCTGTACCCACAGACCGTTTCCTCACGCCGTTGGGACCAACATAATCCGTCACGAATGTCTCTTCTTCGTGTACATAGAGCGTCAAACATCTAAGCTATAAAACTTTTTTTTTTTTTTTTTAAGGACGCCGCCGTTTTGCGTATTGCGGCTACAATAATTTGGCTGGTACTTGGCCGGTTGAATCGAGCCGGCTAATGACCGCGGCCTTGCCTCCTTGAAAGAACTAGAAAGAACGTGGATGAAGACAGTGGGGTGGTTTCATTGAATTTCCCCAGTGAAGAAGTATATGAGCATGCTGGTCGACGTTGGCGGACACTAAAAAAACTCACTCATGCTTTCACACACACAAAAAATACGAAACTCCCCCACAGCGCTCACAAACAACTTCGTATTGCGTGATTAACTTCTGCTTCTACTTCTACATCAATTTGTGACAATTTTCAAACAGAAATATACAAAAAAAAAAAAAAAAAAGGACGGAAAAAAATTTTTTTCCAACGCTTACCGCCGAATTCAGAAACCTCACTCAAACTACACTCAAACTCAAGGGCCCCTCCACTTCCTCGAGGAAGGCGCGAGGGGCCCTTGAGTTTGAGTGTAGTTTGAGTGAGGTTTCTGAATTCGGCGGTTAGGAATACTTCCGGCTAAATAATCAATCTCTTTTTGTGGCAATATTATACACGGCGGCCTGCCAGTCGTATGGTGTTCTCGGCTTTGATAATTTTCGTCGTTAATTGGTTGACACTTTTGCCTAACACGGTGCTGGGGTTGAAACAACACCACCTAGAGAGAAGGCCTCCGCATCGTTTCCTCTTCCTCTATGAAACGTCATCACAGTCGGATCGCGCTCGGTCGGCTATTGGACCCGAGCCCGACCTTCGACGCGCTGATTGGCCACGAGCCGCAGCCGAACACTGACGCAGCACTCGTGCCCAATCTCTCGCCTCAATCGATCTGACTATGATGACGCGTGTGGAGGCCTTCTGTCCAGGTGGATTGAAATGTGCCACGCACCCACAATCCCGACAGTAAAAAAAAAAAAAAAATTGGGTTGTGTGTGTGTTTATACAGCCTAGAACTTGGTCTGCCTCACAGGGGCGACGAGTCTCCCAGCTGTAGATGAGCAATTTAGCCAGTGCGGTACAGCCGCTAGCCTGGGGTTTTTAACGTGCACCACGCAGTAGTGATACACGACCGCACGCCGGTACGATGCTCATCCAGATCGAAACGGGCAGGGGTGGGGCTCGAACCCAGGATCCCTGGGTTCTGCAGCGCGAGCTTTCGCTCCACGTGCTCCGAGCTGGTGTGCGCTAGACCACTCGGCCACCGATCCCCCATCCCGACAGTATATTGCTAAGTTGCCAGAGTTTTCGTTGACGATGATGTTGTTCTGTTCACGAAGGCGGTCATTAAGACACCGCCCAGTTTGTCCTACGTATTGTCTTCAGCAGGAAAGGGGGAAGGAACAGACAACCCCTTCAACGCAAGGCACGCAAGGCACGGTACCGAAGCTCTTCAAGGGGATGTGCACCTGGAAGTGCAGGATGAAACAAGAGCTGGGACAGGAAAGGCAGGGCCGAGCCAGAATAACAACACGCAAGAAGAGACTTCGGAAGGCTCGTGCTTGCTGGAACCCCCTACAAAAGGGAAAATCCACAGAATTTTTCAGAACATGAAAGCGGGCACAGTCATGGGGCCTGACAGGGTGCCAATGAGTGTTCTGAAGAAAATAAGATTAAGACCCAAGATGAACAAAGCTTCGCAAGGTGCACTGGTGGGTAGCCTCCTACATCAGAAAGAAGTACCCCAAGATTAGAGGCGTGGACGAGTGATGTTTATTTATGAAGGGACAGGGGAGAAGACAGACCTCACAAATTATCGGCCCATCACTGTGGCCTCCATAGTGTGCAGGGTCTGCATGCAAGTCGTAAGATGTAGACTGCAAGGGTGAGCGGAACAGAAGGATGTACTGGGGGAGGTTCAGAAGGGCTTCAGAAATGATCGACGGCTGGAGAACAATCTATACGTTCTGACCCAGGAAATCGAAATTGTGCAGCAGGAAGGGAGACAGTTGTGGGCGGCCTACTTGGACACTGAAAGGGTCTACGATTCAATCATTCAATTGTAGTCCAGTGAACTACAATTATGGCGGCGTCAGCGATTCCTGGAACGCTCGATCAGATCGGTCTATTAGGAGACACAGCTTACACCACACCTGAATGTAATAAAGTACCATGAAAATGCCAACGTTACAGCTTGAGCAGTACGTGTACAAGCTTTAGCTTTCGATGCACTAAAGAGTGTAAAATGTCACGATTTTCCAGTCCGTACGTACGTAAACAATATTTGGAATGACGTCACGCTCCACCCCTTTGATATCTTTTTATATTTTTTGCACAACACTATACTCTGTTTCACCTTGTGTTATACCGCAGGAAAGGTTAGAAGCGCGAGCTCCTTGCTCTGGGGCAGATCTCAGCGGCACAAGCTGCCAACGCTATGAGCTCGCGCTTCTAGCCTTCGCTGCAGTACAACATAAGGTGAAACAGAGTATAGTTTGTCCACACAAACCACCAAAACAATATTGCTACATTACTTAAACACTGTGATAGCTATCTGTGAATGAAAATAATTTATAGGCTGCATTTATTTTAACTGTGCCTGCACTATAAGTGCTAAAAGTAACTTTGATCATCTAATGATGAGAGTAATTCTTTAACAATGGCATTACTCTTAAAGGGGCCCTGCAATGACTTTTTGACTGGTTTTTAATTTGCACTGAACC